TGTTGTACTCCTATAATAAAAAGATTATGCCTCTATAGTTGAATGAAAAATTGAGTGCACACAAGACTAATAGTGAAGTATTAATAATCCTATTAAGGCTCCGTTTGGCAAGAGCTAAATGAGGCTTTTTTGGCTATTTTAGCCACAAAAGACAAAATAGGCTATTTTAGCAAAAAAAAACAAAATATCACATCCAATCCATAATCATTACATTCTTCTCTCACAAAAAAAATCAAAAAAGTCAAAAAGCCAAAAAGTCCTTCCCAAACCAAACTTTTTAGTCTAGGCTAAAATAGCCAAAAAATTCAAAAAACCAAAAAGCCAACCCACTTCCCAAACGGAGGCTAAATTAGTGTAGTATTCATTATCTAATTGGATTAATATCCATTGGATTAATAATCCTACCCCTACCCCATTACTAATAATCCTACAAATTTGTTGGATTAATTATCCATTGGATTAATAATCCTAAACCAAAATGTTAAAACAAACATAGGATAATTAAGTCCACGAATTAATAATCCTAATCCCATACTCTAATCCTTCCAATCAAACATCAGCAGGCTAGAATATTTTTAACAACTTTTATTATTTATTATGTTTTTATTTAAGAATTAGTTGTGTATGTTAGATAAAGAGGTGAAACTCACATATTGTGACTCACATTTATAACTGTTTCATAAAATTGTTCTATGTTTCTAAACTTTTAAAATCCTGTTGATATTCTTTTATCTCAGTTGACAACTTTTAACTGGATGCTTCTTGTTCTCCTATAATAAAAAGATTATGCCTCTATAGTTGAATGAAAAATTGAGTGCACTAAGGTTATGTTTGATTCACAAGACTAATAGTGAAGTATTAATAATCCTATTAAATTAGTGTAGTATTCATTATCCAATTGGATTAATATCCATTGGATTAATAATCTCACCCCTACCCCATTACTAATAATCCTACAAAATTGTTGGATTAATTATCCATTGGATTAATAATCCTAAACCAAAATATTAAAACAAACATAGGATAATTGGGCCCACGAATTAATAATTCTAATCTCATACTCTAATCCTTCCAATCAAACATGCTCTAAACGTTTTAAGAAACAAGTCATGAAAACAAATCTCATAAAGTAGTAACTCACTTGGGACCACCCTAAGCTTATTCTAAAAAATTATTCAATAGATATTGAAAAGAGAGGCTGCATGTATTCCAGAACTAGTTAGGGCCTAGTGCTCTTTCGTTTGTTTCTATTTTCTGTCCTCTAGTGTTGTTGTCTTTGCCACCTTTCCTCTTGAAAAAAAAAAAAACAAAACAAAAAAACAAAAAAAGGGAAGACTAGTTAAGGTTAAGCTTCGACATACTATTATAATAATAATAATAATAATAATTGTTACAATATCTAAGAGAGAGAGAAAGATTTGTATTAAATTGAATATTGTGTTAAATAATTATGTAAAAATGTATACAAGACTCCTTTATATAGAAGGAGAGAAACCTAAGTACGACAATTCTAAATATGGTAATGAATATAATATGATATGTATGATAAACAAAATATATAGTTATTATATTTAACACCCCTCCTCAAACTCAAGTAGAAATACTAACTTGAGTTTGGAGAGAGAAACTAAAATATAAAATAAAACGCAAACAGATTGCAAAGTCCGAACGGGAGCGCAAAGGCGCTTGAGATAGATTAGAGGCTGGAACTAATGCCGAGATATAGTTTATGGTCGTGTTGGACCGTTGTAGGAGCTGGCCAGAACTAATGCCAGGACAATTTGAGGTCATGCCAGACCGATGTAGAAATTGCCTGGAACTAATGCCAGGACAGTTTAAGGTCGTGTCGGACCAATATAGAAACTTGCCGAAACTAATGCCAGGACAGTTTAAGGTCGTGCCGGACTCTTGTAGAAACTGACTGGAATCAATATCGGGACAGTTTACGGGGTTATGCCAGACCGTTATAGGAACTGACCGGAATAAATATCGAGACAGTTTACAGGGTCATTCTGGACTGTTATAGAAATTGACCGAAATCAATGTCGGGACAGTTTAAGAAGTTATGCCGGACCGTTGTAAGAATTGACCGAAATCAATGTCGGGATAGTTTAAGGGATCATGTCGGACCGTCGTAGAGACTGGATGTTGAACCAGTAAGTGTGGCATACATATAACTTATGACGTAATGTTAAACGATGATGGCAACAGATGACTGAGTGCGCTAGAAGGCGGCTTGGATGGTGCGCCAATGGGTGACTTTGGTGTTGCGTTAAGGGACGGCTTGGGTAGTGAGCCAGCGAGGGCAGCTTGGATTGTGCGCTAGAAGGGGCGACTTGGGTGGTGTGCCATGGGGCGACTTAGGTGGTGCACCATAGGGGGCGACTTGAGTTGTGCGCCACAGGGGGCGGCTTAAGTGGTTTGCATGGTGTATAACCATGTTAATCGTGATATAGGTATAATATTCCCCTCAAACTCAAATAGGTTTGAAAATAGAAATTTATTTGATGTTGAAGCAGAGGGAAGGCAGAGTGAAGCAAACACACACACACATACATATACAAAAATGGATCGCGAGTTATAAAAAAAAAATACAATAGAGATATTTGCAGTAGGAATAAACCAGCGGATTAAGAAAGAGATCACTACAAAGCGATACTAAAAAAAAATATGGCAGCAAAATGAGTTGAGATCCGGCAGGCAGTCAAGAGCTTAATCTATAGCTGATACCATATTACAATATCTAAGAGAGAGAGAGAGAGAGATCTGTATTATATTAAATATTATGTTGAATAATTATATAACAATTTATACAAGACTCCTTTAAATAAGAGGAGAAAAACCTAAGTATTGTAATCCAAAATATAATACAATATGTATAATAAACTGAATATATAGTTACTAAATTTAACAATAATAATTCATCGCTTTGTGTGGACAATGCTAAAGAAAATTGCCCTGTGTTTTCAATGTATAATTTGTGGATCAACATGGGCCTGTTTGATACATTTTCGAATAAACTCAAAAACCAGTTCTACTTCTTTTTGAATAATCAATTTTTTTATAAAAAAAAAAAATTTAAAAAAGAGTTAATCAATTTTATTTTATTTTCATTTTATTTAAGTTAGTTGTGCTTCATAAGTTAAAAGCAAAAATTACCTAAACATTTTCACACAAATTTTTAAAATAATAATAAAAAAAAGTTATAACCAAATCTACATTGGCCAAGAGTAGTTGTGCACTTCCTAAAGAATAATTAGGTACACGATTTTGTATAGGGACACTTTTTCATAAATATCTTTTTACCTATTTATATTCTATTTAATCTATATTATATTTTAATATTCTAATAAGTCTTATGGGTGACATAATTATCAAAATACCCCTAATAATATTTACATTTACAATGCGAATGTTTCGTGATGTGAATGTACACACTGTTAATGTGAATGTTCACATCGTCAATGTGAATTTTCATACCATCAATGTGAATGTTCACATGTTAATGTGAATATTCATATTATCAATTTTTAATATTCTAATAAGTTTCATGGGTGACATAATTATCAAAACACCCCTAATAATATTTACATTTACAATGCGAATGTTTCGTGATGTGAATGTACACACTGTTAATGTGAATGTTCACATCGTCAATGTGAATTTTCATACCATCAATGTGAATGTTCACATGTTAATGTGAATATTCATATTATCAATGTGAATGTTCACACTATCAATGTGAACGTTCACACGTCAATGTGAATGTTTACATTGTAAAATATGAATGTTCACATCACTAAATTGCTAACTGTTCAAAAAATATTTGTAAGGATAGAAATATCCATAAAATGTCTTAAATATGAGAATTATGATTTGATAGATCAAATGTTCAAATTAGGACTTATTGAAATATAAGAATATCTTATAAACTAATTATGATACAAACACTTAAAAAAATAATTTTTTAATAAATCTCTCATTTTTATATTATATTTTTTATTCATAATGAAAATGAAGTTCGTACCAATTGATGGTGTGAGTTTCACTCTCATTGTGAATGAATAGTAGAAAATAGTATATTCGTAGCAAAACTCCTTTCAACTATTTTGAGGTAGGTAATAGTTAGGTAACTTTTCTTGATTAAGATTTTTAGTAACTTTGTCGCATATTTTAGGATAAATTAAGATGCAAAATAACTTATTTTAGATCACCATATTTAAATCAAACACGAAATTATTTTGTCCCTTCTTTTATCCCTAAAACAAACATGACCTTAGTTCATGAAATCAGGACCTTTGAAATGGATTTAATATCAAAATTTCTATTTGAGGAGACAATGGAAAACATACCAAAAAGAAATCTAAGTCCTTTCTCTTACAAAAAGGTCCATTCTATTTTCCCTAACAATTACAATTGATTCAACTGTTTTTTTTTTTTTTTTTGGTTATAAGAGAGCTCAATGGGGACCAGATTCGTCTAATCTTTACATTTTAACTTGGCCAAGATCTGTTTCTAAAAAATAATCTTTTATCTCTAATACATTTTTAATCACGCGACATGAGAATTTTAAAATACAAAAATTTTAAAAACATGATTTGCGATTGGAAGTAAATTGGTGATGAGGGATAGAGAATTTCATATCTATATGTTGTGTACGTAATACCGCTCTCTACAACTATTCTAAAAATAAATATACGTGCAATGTCATAAAAGATATAAAAAAAAAAAAAAAAATTGTAGCACCAATTACGTTTAGAAAAGATAGTGAAACACGACCCGGCAAGTAGCGTTAGAAACAATTTGTCATGGCTCTTGAGGCCTTCCGAGTTTTTAGTGAAAAATCACACGGAATACAATATTTTAAAACTTATTGTTTCATGGGTTTGAGTCGCAGGAGAGTTATCCTAAAGGAGGGATTGTTGGGTACGCAATGTCACTCCCTATCACGGCGGCTCTAACAACAAACATGTAGGCTCAATATGGAGTACTGTTAAAAATACAAGTGAAGCACCAATTAACTTTGGGATTGATAGTGAAACTCAGTCCAACCCTACTACAGATTAATTGATCTGCATTACTAAAACTAGTATATTGCAGAAAAAATCTCCTAATAGGTCTCAACATAATAATTGCTATAACCAAACTATTCCTCTATAGAATAATTACATACACAAACTACAAATCTCCAAAAAAAAAAAAAAAAGGGTTAATTACATCAAGACCCCCGCAACTATTTATGAATATCAATTTACCCTCTTCATCTATGAACCCGTACATTTTGATCCATTCAACTATAGAAATATATCGCTTTTACCCCCTCTAGATCACTTTCAGAAGTGATGTATTTGTACAATTTATATAGTTGAATGAGTCAATATGAACGGATTCATAGATGAGGAGGTTAAAGTAATATTCGTTAATAGTTGAGGGGCTCTCGATCTAATTAATCCAAAAATCAAATATGATAAACACCCTCTATTTGTTTTTGTTTTTTGTTTTAAATTTTTTTTTTCTCTTTTCATTCTATAGTTCTGAGTTTTTCATACTACTGCTAATTAACCTACCTCTTCTCCAGATCCAGGCACATCACCATGTCCTCCTGCTCCATTTCCAGGATGCTGCAAACTGGCTTCCGCGTCGGCCGCATCCGACGACGTCGGCTGCTCAATCAGCGACTGCCGACATGTCGGACACGACGAATGTGAATCCAGCCATATGTCAATACACTTGACATGAAATCCATGGTGACATTTTGGCAGGACTCTTACTTTCTCACCATCCACAAAATCTCCAAGGCATATTGGACAATCTGTCGCCGGAATACCAATCCCTGCACCGTACACCACCACCGGAATCTGACGCAGCGCTCTCTTCTTCAGCCCTGTCGCAGCCAGGCGGGCTGCTGCCTCCTCCTGCGTCTCAAAAGCGAATCTCCTGCTACACCTTATGGCGCACCGCACTATTGAGTTCAATCCAAGGGCACAGATCAGTGCACAGAGCAAAGCTGCCAGGATTATCAGCATGTTAGTGTCGAAATTCGCCTCGTTGGCATACGAGCCACGTGTTCTGCTTCCAGGTGGCGAGTTGGGTTCTGCATCAAGAAGCAGGCGGTGTGGGCGGTGATGAAGACGATTCATCATTAGTCCTTTGCCACTTGTTATATCAATACACCACTCCACAAACACAAGACACACTGGGATAATTGGACTTGTTGCAAGCTGCTTGTTTTTTCAGGCGAACCGGGTTGAGATTTCGTTGCTCCAAGGGAATTCAACGGCGAATCGAACCACAAAGGAGATGGAAAGTAGGGAATTCATTTCCCTCATATACCCAGAAATCGTTTTTCTTGTTTCTGCAGCCTCCTCCTTCAGAATTGAATTCTTTGTCTGTTTGGAAGTGTGGAAGGAGCTTAGAAAGGATAATTGGGCCTTTCTCAAAATTTTAATTTATGGTTAAGGAGAGGGAAGAGAAAGAAAACACAGATGTGTGGGCTTGTGATTACTTTGTGTTTGTTCTCTTTGATCTGTTTTGATTCCAACTAGATAAACACATCAAGAAGGCATATTGGACACTAAGATAAGGAAAGAGGGGTGATGAAGATGCACTGATGATTATTTGAATTTAGGAACTCTCAATAATCTGCTGTAACACAAATTTTCAAACATTTGGTGTTCAATACACGGCCAAATAAGGTAAAAGAAAAGGGAAAGGATCAGAGGCCAAACATGGTAAAAGAAAGAAAAGGGAAAGGATCAGAAGGATGTAGATTGAGGGAGTTATTGGGGTTAGGTGAAATTTTCTGGCACAAAATGGTTGGAATTTATATGTTCTTACAAACTATAGGCGAAGAATTGAGCAGAAGTCTCGTGCACTGAATTGATTTTTTTTTTCTTTTTTTTCAAGTCAGAGCATGCAGTTGTTGTAGTCTTCATTGTGGCAAAAGATAATGGGATGCAAATGGGAAGGATACCAAATGAAAGCAATTTTGATGTTTGGGTATCATTTTCATTTCTTTGGTATGAGATATGGATGGATTAAACTTTATAACCAAGTAGGGGGGGGAGTGTGCTTGAGAATTTTGATTATGGTACCTGAACCTGATCCCACCAAATCACAGTTAGGACATAAAAATGTGCTTATTCTCGACACTAGATCCGAGTATTAGTTTAGATCTTATGATCCTACGATCTTACGATTCATTTGATTAGAATTGATTAGGATCGTATAAAAAATTCCTTATAGGCATAATCTTTCGATCCTGATAATAGGATCTTATAGGTTCATGGAATCTCGATTCGAATATAATTATATCTGATCCAATTTACAAGCCTTATTTTGAATTGTATGACACATTTTATTATAAATTTTATGTTTGTTGTCTAAATACCAATTTATGTAGTCAAAATAAATAATAAAAATTAAGTAGTATTGAATCAAATAGACTAAGAAAAACAAATTAGGAAACAAACATTAAAATATTGTGGTAATTTAAAAAAATTAACTAGTCGGAAAAACAAACTCAGCTTTAGTGAAGTCTAAAGATGGTAAGATTGCAACTTTATTCCAATTTTTGGAGAGATTATTTCTGTGACTCGAATCTGCTCCACCAGGAATGTTAACAACAAACCTTATCATTCGGTTAAGTTGCTCTTTTGAGTTCTTAATCTATTTTCATATCCAACTTCGTTAAATATTTTTTCTTCACTTTTTATGCATTATTGTAGATTGTAAAGTATTTTGTTATAGAATTATTCTTCTTCACCTTCTTTTTTGATGAAATACAAAGCTTTTACCATCGAGTTTTCTATCGTATAATATTATATATACATTTTATATGGAGTATTATATTTTTCACAATATCTTCACTTCTTTTTAATAGAATATAGGCTCATTTTGTGTATACTTTTTAAGAAATATTTATTTAAATTAAATTATTATATACTTTTTCTTTTTCGGTAGGATCTTACGATTTTCGATCTGATTTTACGATCCAATCCTATAAATACCTCCAACGATCCAACGTAGGATCCCGATTTTAACAACCTTAGTTTGGATGGAGGAGTTTAGTGAGAAAAGAAAAGAAATTGTGAAAATAGGATACCTTTTTATTTGTTTGAATGGTGAAATAGGTGAGAAATAATGAGAGACGGTGAGAAAAAGATTCTCACCAAATTTATGTTTTGTTTCTCACTAAAAGTTGTGAGATTTGGTGAAAAATGAATTGGATTTAATGTAAATTTTCTAAAATACTAAAATTACTCTTATGAAAAAACATAACTTATTAATATGGCAGATTATTTTGATAAAATAAAATACAATACTTTTTTTTCTTTTCTCTTATTTACTCTATCCAAACATGATTAGGTAATAAATTACATTTTTTTTTCTTTTTTATTTATCCAAACATAATGATGAGAAACTACAACTATTTCTTTTCTTTTCTTATTTCAGTAAAAAATCACAGTTATTTTTTTTCTTACATCGCCTCACGATCCAAACAAAATGTAAAGTTACATTTGAAATTTAGATTTGGAAGCAGTTTATCGGGGGGAGTTGAAACTCTTCTTTTTGTAGGTTCCTTTTGCACTTCCCACTATTCGTTATTCCTTTAACAAAGCATCCGTAAATTCAAAAATAATTACACGATACTCAACTATGATTTTCATGAGGGAGTACAATTCTTTTTAAACAGATGTCGGGTCAGAATTTTGCCCTTCAATGGGGTCCATTCTTTTTGGTTTTTTCATCTGAATGGGGTCCACTCTAAGACTCTTATGCGAATTATTCATCCTATACAGTTTGATGAGCAGATCAATTATACAAAAACTAAAATTTGTTGGATTTTGATATAGTTTGTTTGGGACGTGGGTCGATTATTTAGTTATTTAGTTTGGGTTAAAAAGTCTTGTTTGGAATAAATTTTTTGACTGTTTTGACTTTTATGAAAGAAAAAATAAAATAATTTTGAGTTAGATGTGACATTTTATCCTATTTAATTAAAATAATATATTTTATCATATATTGCTATTTTAGCCCAAATGCGCATCCCAAACGGGGCTAGAGTCATATGATTAAAATAAATGTTGAGAGGGAGATTTATGATCTGAGATTGGGCCGTGACGTTAACCGTACAGATTTGGGCCGAGGTATTGGGCTCCAAGATCAGGCCGTGATATTACTCGGTAATGGCAAAGCCCACGTGGAACCGAGTTATCTGATCTCGGTTCCGCGAAGGCCGGACAGGTGGAGGAACAGCCTAGATGAGGCTTCCCGGCTCACGCATTGCAAGGTTGTAATGCACGCACCTTAACCCGGTAGGAAGGCCTGTGCTTGGAGCTTGGCCGGGAAGGTCTTTGGCTGACCGGCGTTACCAATCTCCAGCTCGGCTTCGCCGGAATACAGTTAAGCACGGCTGGAATTAAGCCCGGTAGTAGGAAACTACGACATCAACTGCACTTGGGCATGTTCAGTATGGCCGTTGATAGCCGATATAATGTTGCCCGGTTGCCGTGCTCCCAGCAGAGTGGGCTGGCAATTGGGTTAGGTGATGTATAGCAAGATTTGTGCTGGCAGATGGGATAACAGAGTCACGTGTCGAGAGACCAATGGGAGTAGATTTGGGGCGCAAAAGGGTATATAAGTATGTCTGCGCCCCCCATACGCGATGCAGGAACACTTTGTAAGGAAATTCTTACACTCAAATACTCATCTCTCTCTCTCTCTATCCTAAAGTGTGCGCTAACTTGATCGTCGGAGGGTTTTTCCGGCCACACACCGCCGGGTAGCTCACCGTTATTTGCTCGTAGGTGACCGGATAGAAGATTCATATAGTGACATTTGTGATTTTAAATCAATTCAAACTAGAGGTGGGAACGCACAATTGGCGCCGTCTGTGGGAACCTTGACAGACAAAACCTTGTCTTCTAGGCTCGTCTGATCGCCGTCCATGGCGAACAACGATGAGTTTCCGTTGTCTGCCATAGATGGAGCCACCTCGGAGTTCACTCGAAGGAGAGAAGGACCTCCCGCCATCCATCCAATGGCGGACTTGGAGACGCCCACCGGAGGACAGTCAGGAGACGTGCGGGATAAGCGCGGAAGAAGTTATGGTCATTCACGAAGTCCAGAAGGTCATCGGCGACGGAGAGAATCACATGCCCGACGTCTGGAACACAAGTTGAGGGACCAAGACGCTGTCATCCGGCGAATGGCGGCGGAGATGGAGGAGCTGAAGTGACATGTCAAGGGGAAGGGTATAGATGGAGTGGTAAACCACAATGAGCGCACCCCATCCCGCCGTTCAGGCAGTCAGAGTCAGTGACACACTCCATCCATTTCCATTACCAGAAGTTACAAGGTTGGTGATTCAGGTGTGCGCGCAGAAAATTCTAGCGCGTAGGATAGCACCTACCAGCCCTCGAGTCCGGTGACGACGTCGAGGTACTCATATTCCGCTCACTCAGAGGATTTGCGGGCAGTCTTGAAGGAACGAGCTCGCCGGCGGGAGGCTCAAAGGGTGCCGGCGTTTCAACGGCTATCCTATGGGGTTCACGCCAGCGAGGAGGTCGGAATGCCTCCACCCCGCTAAGCAGCGCCACTCTTTGTAGATACGGACTTGGCCAGGCTGAGCGCCACCCCTTTTTCCCTGGAAATAGAAACAACACCGCTTCCGACAGGCTTCCACCAGCTTAAGTTCACACTCTACGATGGAAAAACTGATCCTTACATGCATGTAAGCCACTTCCGATAGGTTATGGCCGGACATAGGCGAAATGACGGACTTATGTGCCTAATCTTCCCGTCAAGTTTAGGCCAGCTGGGCTTGAAGTGGTTCGAGAGGTTGCCGGAAGGGAGCATACAAAGGTGGCATCAGTTGGCCGAAGCCTTTGTGACACGCTTTAAAACCAACACAAAAACACCAAAGGAAGTCGATCACTTACTAAGTGTCAAGATGGAACCGAGCGACACACTGAAGGCATACAACTCCAGGTATTGGGACACCTTTAACGAGATCTTGGATTGCCCGATCAACCTTGCAATCACGCAATACAAGCGTGGTCTCCCGGTCGGACATAGACTGCGGGACTCGCTTACCATGCACCAGCCGACATCCATGGGCCAACTCATGCAACGCATCAATGAGCATATTCGAGTTGAGGATGATGCGTCGGCGTCTACTGCGAAGTCAGTTCAGGTAGCGACAAACAAAAAGGCTGGAAAAGTGCATACAGTCTGACAGGAGTCCGGCCGATCTACTAACCGCGCTGAGGAATCGGACCGTGGATCGAATCGGAAAAACTGGGGTAGAGGACGTCATTATGACCGGGATGACACAGCCGATGCAAACAGGAGATTGAAAGCAAGGACCGGCATCACCTCGGTCTTTAAGATTCCAATTTATCGCATACTTAGCGAAATCCGTGACGAGGAGTATGTCCGGTTTCCCGCTAAGTTGGGCAATGGACAGAAGGGCTTCAATCCGAAATACCGTTGTACATTTCACCGGGAACGAGGCCACCGAACAGAGGACTGTTTGCCTTTGAGGCAACACTTGGAAGAGCTAGTCGCAGCCGGGCACCTGGATCTTTACATTGATGGGGGCGTTAAGGCAAATCAGGCTCCGGTTGATCCGCGGGGACCGGATGACCGAGATGCACCTCCTCAAGGGGTTGTGAATGTCATCCACGGCATAGTGGAACCGGCGCGTGTTTACGAGCTCCGTGGTATGATCAAGAAGGCAGAGCACATGAGGGAAGTTTTGTCAGTTCAGCCTGCGCTCAAGAGGGGGAAGACGGAAACGAAAGATGTGATCAGTTTCTCCTCAAGGGACTTGGAGCGCATTCAGACACCGCACAATGATGCCTTAGTAGTTACACTTCGCGTCAAAGATTTTGAAGTCAAACGGATCTTGATTGATCAGGGAAGCTCGGTCGAGATCATGCACTATGACGCTTTCAAACAGCTCAAGCTCCGAGATACGGATTTGGCCCCGGTGACATCGCCATTGGTTGGTTTCAACTCACAACCGGAGTGGCCTTTGGGAAAGATTATCCTGCCGGTTAAAGCGGGATCCGTGGTCAAACATGTGGAGTTCTGGGTGTTACAGGTGCCATCTACTTACAATTTGATCCTTGGAAGGGAGTGGCTTCATGCTATGCAAGCCGTGGCATCGACTTTTCACCAAGTAATGAGATTCCCCTCGGCTATGGGGGCAATCGAGTAGATTTGGGGCGATCAGGTCATGTCAAAGCAGTGCTTCGTGGCAATCAACGGGAGCCGGGCTGCCAAAGGATTTGTTCAAATGATTGAGGGACCGGAGGACCAGGGTGTCTTGGATGATGTGGGCACCAAGGCCGAAGACAAAGCTGTCGAGGAATTGGTGGAGGTGCGAATTGATACAGAGCAGCCGGACAAGTTCTTCTTGCTCGGCTCAAGCCTTACAGCCACAGAACGGACCGAGATGGTTGAATTTTTGATGTCCAACATCGAAGTCTTTGCATGGTCGCCTTACGACATGCCCGGCCTCGATCCAAGTTTTATTTGCCATCATCTCAATGTCTTCCCCGGAGCCAAGCCAGTCATCCAGCGAACAAGGAGATCGGCGCTGCATCACGCCGAGGTAGTTGCGGAGGAAGTCAAGAATTTGCTGGAGGCACGAGCAATTCAAGAAGTGCACTATCCTCGGTGGATCTCAAATACAGTGGTGGTACCGAAGAAGAATGGGAAGTGGCGGGTTTGCGTTGATTACAAGACCGTCAACCGAGCTTGTCCGAAAGATAGCTTTCCTTTGCCTAGAATTGACCAACTTGTGGATTTGACGGCTGGACATAACAGGCTAAGTTTCTTGGATGCCTACCGCGGCTATCATCAGATTGCCATGCATGGCCCCGACCGAGAAATCACCTCATTTACTACACCAAGGGGACTCTTCTGCTACCGAGTCATGCCTTTTGGTTTGAAGAACGCCGGGGCAACTTTCCAAAGGATGGTGACCAAGATGTTTGCTCCTTTGCTGGGCCGGATAATGGAAGCTTACATTGATGATATGGTGGTTAAAAGCCGGCATCAGGCAGATCATTTGTCCGACTTGGCCGAGATGTTCACCATTCTCAAAAAGCACAAGTTACGCCTGAATGCGTCTAAGTGTGCCTTCGGCGTGGGATCCGGAAAATTTTTGGGATTCCTAGTCACGAATCGTGGTATCGAAGCAGACCCTACACAAATCCAAGCCGTGTAAGAGTTAAAACAACCTAGCTCGGCGAAAGACGTGCAGCATCTGGCCGGAATGGCCGCCGCGCTTAATCGATTTATAAGCCGGTCATCAGATCGCTACCGCCCTTTCTTTCAGTCCTTAAAATCAAAGTTCTCCTGGGATGAAGAGTGTGACCGAGCTTTAGCTGAGCTCAAGGAGTATCTGTCTTCAGCACCACCGTTGGTCACACCGGAGCCTGGAGAAGAACTCTATCTTTATTTGGCCGTATCGCAACATGCAGTCAGTGCGGTGCTTGTCCGGGCTGAAGGAATCAAGCACCTCCCCATCTTTTATGTCAGCAAGACTTTGCTACTGGCAGAGTCGAGATACTTGCCGTTGGAGAAGCTTGCTTTGGCATTAATGATGGCTTCAAGAAAGTTGGCGCACTATTTCCATGCACATATCGTCATCGTCTTGACCGAGTTCCCCCTCAAAGCTTTATTCGAGTGGGCAGACTTCTCCGGTCGGATTCTTAAGTGGGCGGTCGAGTTGGGACAGTTTGATGTGAAGTTCCAGCCACGCACTGCCATCAAAGCCCAGACTTTGGCCGACTTTGTCGCCGAATTCTCACCTAGAACTCATCCGGTATGCCCGGTTGATATTACCGCGGTAGATGATGAGGTGCACGCAAGACCATCCGAGATACAACCAGTTGGTGGAGGTAGCGACGTGGAGTTTGCGCGCACCACTGAAGCACCCTCAGTTTGTATGGTTTTACCACCCGGTAATGCGATGACGGAGTTGAGTATCACTGACCAACTTGCTCTGTCCGGTCCCGCATCACCAAGGGGGGAAGAAATGGAACCACACAGCTCAGAACCTGCGGCCGGCATAATACCGCAACCTGGTGATTCGCCTACGGACTTGAGCATTGCAGATCAACTTGCTGAGTCCCCGAATCATCAAGGGTGACTGAATTGGAACCAATCAACACAGAACTTGAAACCGAACAGCCGAGCAGTCGTGACCCCATCAACCTTCAAGCCTCTCAGGACCCCTCAGAATGCTAGAAGCTCTTCGTGGGGGAAATGTGGAAACTTTTTGTTGATGGAGCCTCGAACCGTCACGGCGCCGGACTAGGTATAGTTTTGATATCACCAGACGGGTTGACAATTGAACACTCTATCACCCTTGGCTTCCCAGTATCCAACAATGAGGTCAAGTACGAGGCGCTTTTGGCCGGTCTCAAGAGCGCGCTTCAGATGCAGGCATCAGAGTTAATGGTTTACAGTGATTCCCAGCTTGTGGTTAACCAAGTTTCTAGGGTCTACCAGGCAAAGGATGACAGAATGATAAAGTACCAAGCTTTGGTCAGGGACCACATCAAGCGATTCCAGGCGATCAGGGTCCAACAGATCGGCCGAAAAGAAAATGACCGGGCAGATGAGCTGGCCGGCCTGGCCTCTATGGTCGATCGCTCATTTCCCCACCCTCTTTTGATTGAATTCCTACCGAAACCCAGTATTGAAGAAACCGGGCAGACGGAAGTATTCTGCGCCGAGCTAGGTCCTTCCTAGATGGACCCTATCATCGTTTTTCTCAGAGAACGGACTCTTCCAACCGACAAGAAGGAAGCACACAAAGTGCGTGTAAAGTCAGAGCGGTTTTGGCTCTCTCCTTTAGGCGTTTTGTACAAAAAGTCTTTCACCGGTCCTTACCTGAAGTGTGTGCACCCGAGTAGCGTGGAAACCTTCCTGTATGAAATTCACGAAGGCATCTGTCGCAGTCACATTTGGGGCAGGTCCTTGGCCTACCGAGCTATTTCACAAGGCTATTGGTGGCCGTGCATGCAAGCCGACGCCCAGAAATATGTTCGCAAGTGTGAAAAGTGCCAGAAGTTTGCACATCAAATCCACCAGCCGGCCAGAGAACTTCCCCTCACCAGCCCTTGGCCTTTTGCAATGTGGGGGTTAGATATAGTGGAACCGCTCCCAACAGTACCAGGCAACCCCAAATTCTTCATCGCGGCAGCGGACTACTTCACCAAGTGGGTTGAAGCTGAGCCTTTGGCAACAATTAAGGAGAAAGACGTGAAGCGGTTTGTCTGGCAGAATGTGGTAACACGGTTCGGCGTCCCCAAAATTTTGATCTCTGATAACGGCACCCAGTTTGACGGTCGCCTATTCAGAGGATTTTTTGAAAATTTGAAGATTGAATTCTACAACTCTACTCCGGCTTACCCACAGTCCAACGGTCAAGCCGAGGCGTCAAACAAGACTATTCTTGATGGACTAAAGAAGAGGCTTGAGAAGGCCAAGGGAAAGTGAGCCGAGGAACATCCCAGCATCCTCTGGCATACCGTACAACCCCTCGGAGGTCGACCGGGGAAACTCTATTTGCTTTGGCTTATGGCATGGAGGCGGTCATTCCATTGGAAGTTGGCATGCCCACTCTCAGAAGTGAAACTTTTGAGCCCGAGCTGAACGCCGAGGCCATTGCTCTGGAATTGGATCTGGTGGAAGAGCGCTGGGAAAATGCTCTTATCCATGTGGCCGCCTACCAGCAAGAGCTCTCCAGGAAGTACAACAAGGCGGTGCACCCCAGATCGTTTAAGGTAGGTGATTGGGTCTTGAGGAAAGTTATGGGCAATACCCTGGTGCCAGGAGAAGGCAAGCTAGGTGCAAATTGGGAAGGACCCTACAAGGTAACCGGTCTGGCGGGCAAGGGGGCATACCACTTGGAGGATTTGGATGGTAGAGCAATCCCGCGGCCATGGAATGCGGCCAATCTCAAACTGTACTATTTCTAGCTTTTGTTTTCTTTTTGTCCCGCATCACCAGGGGGGAAGAAATGGAACCACACAGCTCAGAACCTGCGGCCGGCTTCACACCGCAACCTGATGATTCGCCCACTATTTCTTCATATTTATTTTTATTAAATTAGTTTTTTTTTTTAAAATATCAGGGGGAATCTGTATTAAATTGAAACCTCAGGGGTGTCAATGTAATTTGCCCTTTAAAATATATGTAAAGGTTGAAGGTAAATATGTCATTTTAACTTAAAAGTTAACACCGTCAAATAATTACACTGACAAGGGGGGATCGGTGTAATTTTTCAAATGTGAGGGGAGAACTATAATAAACATAAATCTTAAGGGTGTCAAATTGTTTTTAAAAAAATGCATAATATTCTATTTCTTTTTTGATGAATCACTAAATGGAACTAATTTTGGCTCAATCTATACTCTCCTACCTACAAGCATGAAGAACAACATTTGGGAAGTGAGCAAACAAAATAGAAAAAGGAGCAACAGTTATGGGCTCCGATGAATTTACATATTGAGGCTCCAATGGGGGTATATGCCCTGACGAATTTACAGTTAAAACATTCCCATTAAGCAACATAACCTGGCTGTGTAAATTCCCGTCCTTTGCTGTCAAATGGTACTCCTCTCTTGTCATTCTGCTTTTCTTTTTTCCTTGAAGTAGTTGAATAGGCTTTGTTTTGTGACTGTGAGACTTGTGTTTGTGTCGCAGTGTCCGAGTTCTATTCAAAGCTAGCTTAGTCTCGACAGTGGTGGAGTTGTCTAGGTTGATCATTAGCAATGTAATTCCTTGCTGCAACGAAAAGATTACAAAAATGCCAGAGATCCTAAAAATTTTACCAAAAATTCTACCAAATGTCTCACAGGGGTGTGGGATCCACATGGCACTTACATTGTGTGGTCCCACACCCATTTGAGACATTTGGTAGAATTTGTGGTAGAATTTTTGGGTCTCTAGCATTACGCAAAAGATTATGATCAGATTATAACATGACAGTATTTTGATTGTATAATAAATGAATATGGTTTAGATTTGAACTTACAGAATGCTTTGCACAATGAGCATATGAGCGTATCTTCTTTGTCCCTGAAAAGCTTGTCATTAGAGCTTTTCTTCCCATTAATCGGTGCCACAGAAGTGCACTGCTAGCAGGAAAGCAGAATATCAAACCGTGAATTTTTTTTCCCCATTTTTTCTAACTGTGAATTTTCATGTTTCAAGATTTTCATTCTCATTTCTTACAAATAGTAGTACATAATTGTGTTGGGCTAAGAAGCAATTTGAAGAAAAATGCAAGACATGATAGTGGGAGACAGATGCAAAATATATAATTTTATATATTTATTATTTTTTTTTATATATGAATATGTCCTTCAGATAATATAAGATCGTAACATAACAATAAATTCTAAAGGAGGAAAAATTATTAAGTATAAATCTACATTGTTTTTGTTTTTCTTTTATCATTGGATCTAAGTTAACTCATTGAACCTATAATTTGTTTATGTGTCTATAAACATGTATGGGTCTAAATAAATAAAACTAACAAACAGGACATATTTAGACATGTGTCCCACACATATTGAGTAGAGTTTGACATGTGTCTGACACAAACACAACACCTTTGCAGGAGTGTTTGTGCTTGTTAGAAGTAGGGCTTATGTAATGTAAGAACTTCAAGAATTCAATAACCTGTAATAGCAGAAGGGGAGGTAAGGACATGTTTGAATGCGTGTGATAGGCTCGGAACCTCGCAGTGAGGCACATAGGCTGGCTTGACAAAACTGGAGTTACCCTGACGCTCCTAGCTCCGTTCTGGTGCCTGTACACCTACATATATATATGAGCAGTGAGCTAAAGCCCAGTGAATAACATAAAGCGTAAAGGGGTTTAGAATGAATGTCCTTACAGTAATGAAAACAGTTCAATTCAATCAGTATTTCAGTTGTTCAGTACAGTAAACAGTCATATGTGGTACATCCATTAGCATAATAGTAACAGTAGGTCTTGAAAGACCGAACAGTAATGATGGCCATCAGTCAGTAAACAGTAGTGGTTCCACGAGGGAACCGACAGAGATTTCTGTCACAGTAACAGTAAACAGTAGGTGCTAAGGATGCCACAATACAGTTCAGAATATAGGACATACATTCAATCAGTTAACAGTAATCAGTTTAGAACAGTACAGTTCAGTTGTTCAGAAAATAATCATTTGTGAACATATCTTTACACAATCGTTACTCACAGAGTTTGTGCTACAGTATGCTAGAGCGTACCTCCCCAGTCGCCAACCCTACACAGTTAACAGATTGAACACACTAAGCTACACAGCTGGGAAAGATAATAACTTAATCCCTAATTTGCCTCGGTGTGTTCTACATCTATATCCTCAATAAGATGTCTTAAACTAGGCCTAAGAATGCCTAGACTGGGATGAGGATGCAAAGATGTACTTTTAAAAACATTTTCAGATTTTTCAGAAAACAGGGGTCACGCTCGAGCGTAGGTCACTTCGCTCGATCGGACATGCAGACAAAGGTACCCGCTCGAGCGTCAAATCACCCGCTCAAGCGTACTGCAAAAGTACTGGATGGGTGAAATCTCCGCTCGACGGACACTCGACGCCCGCTCGAGCTTGAGACACACGACTCCGCTCGAGCACCCAATCCTCCGCTCGAGCGGACTGTAAAACAGTGTAGAGATGCTGGATGCTCGGATTCCACGCTCGAGCGTAACTTCCCCCCGCTCGAGCGGAAGTGCAAAATCTGGAAATTCCAGATTGCACCTCCAAGCCAAAACCAAATTGTTAACAACTCAAAACCGATCCTCTTGGGCTAATTTCTGGAAAAACACTTGTAAACACATGAAATAACATGATTCAAAACTCAATTTGAGAAATCAAAGCCCAAGGGTGTTTAATTCAAACCCAATTTCAAACCAATTTCATGAACATGAAGAACATGCAAACATGTATGAATTCAAACCAATTCAAAGCTTCAAAACATGCTCTAAAGAGCCAATTGTTTCCAAAACATGATGAAATCATGGCCTACACTCAAAACATGGACATGCATGTGACAATTAGCCATGAACTCAACTCAAAATCCAACAATACTAACATGCATGAATGAATGGAGTTCTAATTCAACATGCTAGAACTAAATTATGACTTAGCTCCTCAATCAGACATGAACCATGCATGAATCAACTTAAAGGCACAATCAAGAGGATGAAACTCATACCTAGGTTCCTTAATTACTAGTCTTGAGGTTCAATCTAGCAAGAACTCCTTTCAATTCCTCCAATTTCAAGCAATTCTAAAGATGAAACAAGTTGAATCACTCTTTTCCTCTTACTCTTTCTCTCTAGTCGGCAATGACAAGGGAAATGGCTGATGAAATTATGTTGCTTAAGTGCAAGGAGCTCAAAGGTGTATAGGTAGTGGGCACTTAAGTGGCATTAAGGTAATTAGTCCAACCTATGCAATTGATCAATATTTAATCTAATTTAATCATACCAAATCGATTTTCAGATAAATATACCATAAATTCACATTAATTATAAGGATCATAAAACATCAATCAATTCCCGGTTCGGCCGCCGATAAGGCCTTCAATTAGCAGTTTAAACGTAACACGTGAACATGTCAAATAAACAATCAAACAGATAGAATACAAATTAACATACATACTCAGTCAATTCAGTTCCAGTTTTCAGTCAGTCAGTTCAGTACTCTAATCAGTTCAATTATCAGTCATGATCAGTTCAATTTGACGGTAATCAATGTTTATCGGTAAGCAGTGGTGAGGGTTATTACAGCTGCCAACCACGTCACTTGGCAGCAAGAGAGCTTTCGAGAGGTCAAAGGCCAACAAGTGCTCCTTATCGCCCTTGACAGAAGCATTTGCCGGGATATCTTGGCCCCGGTACTTGAGCTGCGGCCGCCATGGTGGAATGGGATCGGCAGTGTTGGTGGGCTGCTCGGTTGTTAGCTCGGCAACCAGCTTGGCAGTTGGATCTGCGCGAGGTCTTTTGCCTGCCCGGCGGGGTTGGCTGGATTGCCCGGCAGCTGGAGATGCCAGGGAAACCACAGGGCTGCTGGATTGACCAACAGCATGAGATGGGGGAGAAATGCTTGGTATTTCGGCGGATGTGGCTGTGAGGAGATTCTTGATGCGATTTCTTTTAGCCATCTCTTGTTCCTCGGTCAGCCGGATTAGCGGAACGTCTGGCAGATTTGGGTCTGGAGGAGGAGTTGGAGCACGGAGAAAGTCTGTAACTTTACTCCGGCGTGGAACTGAGTATCTGTAGGTTGGAGTGTAACCGAGCAGCTCGTTGCAATCTCGGTGGCGATGGCGGAGCACGGTCCGAATTGCCTCTACGTTGGGAAATTGGTAGTTGGCTTGCAAGGCTTGGATTGCTGCAAAAGAAACAAGAAAACTGATTAATTACAGAATAAATAAGGTAGGCTGACCGAGCAAGTTTGAGCGGCTTACATGAGGAACCGAAGTTCTTGCTTATAAACCAGCCTGGTACCTCGGCTGTTTCGTAATTGCCCGATACCCAGAAAAAATCGTCATCGTGCAAATCTTTATCTGGGGTGCCGGTTACAATTTTCTCCTTGCCCGGTCTGATTTTCAAATAATATGCTAGGTCGTCACCGGTGTGACCCATCGTGTATTGCCTTAATATCTCAGCTAAGCCTAAGTTGGTGCCTAGCCGGTTGTTCAGTTCATGGACGCCGTTGATAATTCGGTAAGTGTTGGTGGACACTTGTGTGGGTGCCAGCCCGGTGCAGCGGAGGAACTTGGTGATAAGTGGGTTGAGTGGGAAGCGGAGGCCTCCTTTGATGATAGATAGCACGGTGAAGGGGCATTGTTCTGATCTGCCCCAAGGCGTTGTTTGCTCTTCTGCAAGCTCAAGGTGGATGTCGGCCGGGATGCCGTGCTCCTCCCTGAACACGGCCAAGGCAGCCAGAGTATCTACGAGGAAGCGGAATTTCCCCATTTACGACCGGCTAAATTAGCTCGGCTGTGGTTTGGCACTGTCAGGTGATTTGTGGCTGCTCGGTCTTTGGGAGCCTCAGGAATGGTCAGTGGTTCCCTTGGACTCTGCAGGAAAAGGAGGGCAAGTGTGAGAGGGAGCGCGGTCGCGCAAAGCGAGCTTGACTTTAGCTCGGTCGTCTAGAGTGCCAAACCACCTCGGTCGTAGAGGCTAACTAAGGAGCTCGGCCGCCCAGGCAGACTAGATTTTAGTCCGGTTGAGCGGCCAAGACCTTTGTTATCCCGGTTCTTGCTATGGTTAAGTCTAACAGGTTATTTGCTCGGTCGGGATGGTTTTTTGGATCAAACGAAGACCTGGAGCCCGGTCCGCCCCAGTTCTTCGAAGTTCATCAGCGAAAATGAAGAACACCATGAACAGTGGGAGGTTTGGGACGATTTCTATGGCCTATGTCCTAAGAACTACGTTTTATTGCCCTATTGTGTGAAATATCAAGGAAAATAACAATAACAAGGGTTGGAGGGCTTACCAATATGGAGCAGTGGCTGCTTCTTCTTCGAGCGCGAGTTCAGGAATGGCAGATGAGAGGCAAGAGCTCTGGGTTGTTTGGAATGGCAGTGAGTCAATAAGAGCTCAAGGAAGATGATGGGGGAAATGTTTATAGAGGAGACGAGACCGCCCAAATTCAAATTCTGGCAAGATGGCGGGTTGGCCGCTCGAGAACCAATGGTAGCCCGCCATGTGTCCCCATTTATGACGACGTCAGAACTGAAGAGACAGGTTGAAGAGTTGAGTCAACCGGGCTACTTTTGAAGAAGATGACGTCAACCGAGGAGTATAACCGGGCAAGTTTGCAGACAGGAATGTCAACTAGCCCGGTCGCCATTTCGCATTCTGAGGACCGAGGAAGTGTTATCCCGGTCGAAATAAGTAATCCCAGTCACGCTTTTGCGGACGGAATTAAGGGGCAATTGAGAGGGAGATTTATGATCTGAGATTGGGCCGTGACGTTAGCCGGACAGATTTGGGCCGAGGTATTTGGCTCCAAGATCAGGCCGTGATATTGCTCGGTAATGGCAAAGCCCACGTGGAACCGAGTTATCTGATCTCGGTTCCGCGAAGGTCGGACAGGTGGAGGAATAACCTAGATGAGGCTCCCCGGCTCACGCGTTGCAAGGTTGTAATACACGCACCTTAACCCGGTAGGAAGGCTTGTGCTTGGAGCTTGGCCGAGAAGGTTTTTGGCTGACCGGCGTTACCAATCTCCAGCTTGGCTTCGCCGGAATACAGTTAAGCACGGCTGAAATTAAGCCCGGTAGTAGGAAACTACGACATCAACTGCACTTGGGCATGTTCAATATGGCCGTTGATAGCCAAGATAATGTTGCCCGGCTGCCGTGCTCCTAGCAGAGTGGGCTGGCAGTTGGGTTAGGTGATGTATAGCAAGATTTGTGCTGACAGATGGGATAACAGAGCCACGTGTCGAGAGACCAATGAGAGTAGATTTGGGGCGCAGAAGGGTATATAAGTATGTCTGCGCCCCCTATACGCGATACAGGAACACTTTGTAAGGAAATTCTTACACTCAAACACTCCTCTCTCTCTCTCTCTCTCTCTATCCTAAGGTGTGCGCTAACTTGATCGTCAGAGGGTTTTTCCGGCCACACACCGCCGGGTAGCTCACCGTTATTTGCTCGCAGGTGACCGGATAAAAGCGGAGCTTGGAAGAAAGGAGTGCAGGCTTGCCTGAATATTTGCTCCCCCGCACAAATGTCTTTAAAAAAAATGAACAGGCTATTCGCAAGTTTTTTTTTTTTTTTTAAATTTTTATGATCTATTATGTGGCTTACTTGATTTTTATATATAAATTATTTGTTCGACAAAATTTACAAAATGAACGATTCAAATTGAAGTAATGGATCTATCGTCGATCCCATCAAAGGACAATAGTCGACACAAGTGTAACTCCAAATCTGCTTTAAACATACTTCTAAGTGGACACCAATTAATAAAATCTTATATAATTACGATATTCGATTTAATAGTTGTGTAATACCACTTTGGGCTTGCCTGAATATTTGCTCCCCCGCACAAATGTCTTTAAAAAAAATGAACAGGCTATTCGCAAGTTTTTTTTTTTTTTTAAATTTTTATGATTCTATTATGTGGCTTACTTGATTTTTATATATAAATTATTTGTTCGACAAAATTTACAAAATGAACGATTCAAATTGAAGTAATGGATCTATCGTCGATCCCATCAAAGGACAATAGTCGACACAAGTGTAACTCCAAATCTGCTTTAAACATACTTCTAAGTGGACACCAATTAATAAAATCTTATATAATTACGATATTCGATTTAATAGTTGTGTAATACCACTTTGTAATGTAAGATTACGACTTCAAATCTTATGGATATCAATTTGATATTCTGTATTTCTTTATCATTATGAGGGTTATATTATGTGATTGTTAGGAATAGTGGTCTTATTGGTTGTGTAGTACCACTTTATGGTATAAAGTTACGAGTTTAAATCTTACAAAAAATGATACTTTTTATTCTCTATCATTATAAGGGTTATATTGTGTGATTGTTGGGAATAGTAGTTTCTTTATTGTGATTATCGGGTTGAGTTAGATGACTTCTTTGTGGCAGTTGATAGATTTGTAAATATACAAACATTCAATTTTATGTAATTATTCTAATATTTGAAATTAATCTCCTATCTACTAAAAAAAATTTGAAGGTCAAGCAATTCAATAATTCATTTTGTCCTTGGATCCCGATAGCTAACGCAAATTTAGAACAATTATTAGGTGCTTTAGGAGCATAATATATTTATGTTCTCCATCAATTATTAAATATAAAATCTCTATATTATTTTCTATATTTTAATATAAAGTCATAAATTTCACTCACTTCACCAATAATAATACTCCCAAAATATTAACAAATTATGCCTTCAACCAACAAATAACTTCTCGACAAATCTATGTGTCGGCATACATTTTATGCACTTTTTAAAAAAAAAAAAAAAAAAAAAAAAAAAAGGATTGAGGACTTTTTATGCAACTTTTGACAGCACATAAGTTGAATATTTTTACAGCAAGAATGTGATACTTGTCTTCTTGATGCTGCCTAAGCCAACAACAAAATTTTTGTAATCATAATATTGTGGGTAAAGTATAATGACCTTTCTTGAAATCTTTTAGTCAAAATATCTTAAATCTTATAATTTAAATATAATTATATAAGAAAGATTAAAAAAATTAAAATTAATATAACTAATATGAAGATACAAAGATAATCAATAATATATATATATATATATATATATTAGTGTAAAAAATATGGTAATATTATTTACCTATAATTAATAATATAAATGATAAATTATACTTGTAATCCATATATTTTGAACCCTTATGTTAGTTTGGTTCCTATGATTTCAATTGACTCGATTTTGATTATGAATTTATGATTATATTTCAATTTGATTTAATTGATTACAATTATTAATGTATTTTTTTTTATGAAAAATGTGCATATAAATGTCATGTGTTATATTTTTATAGGTAAAATTATAAACTTATTCAATTCAGTAAGTTAACCTCAACAGTGACTATTTTCCTAGGGTCATTTTCTGATAAATCCACTTTCTAAGAGTTTTATTCCATCTAATCTATATACTTTTTTAGTATTCCATTAGGTCATATTTAATGTAATATGACTAAATCATCCTTCTAATTTTTTTGCACATGTTTACAATAAAAAATAACAATAGTCCCTCATTTTATGGGGGAAAAAAAAAACTCTAACTTTCTAAAGAAAAAATATTTGCTTTATTCTATGGAGAAAATTTCTCCCTCATTCTAAGGAAAAAATCTCTCCCTCATTCTACGGAGAAAATATCAAATTATAAACTTTCAACTTTTTTATAATGTGAAAATTTTAAAAATAATGCCAAAAAAAAAAAATCTAAATGAAAATCAAAATACAATGTGAATGTTTATAGTAGACAACAAACATATAACTAACTTTTGAAAAAACAAACACATACTAAAGTACAATATGAATGTTCACAATAAATAACAAACATACAACTAATCTTCAAAAATAAAAAACTCATGTCAAAATACAATATAAATGTTCACAATTTACAATTAACATAAAACTAGTCTTAAAAAA